GGCGGGTAAAACGCTTACCCAGGGGCTGGGTTTGAGCCCACTAATACCCGGTTGGGCGGGGAACATTATCCCAAGATTTCAGCGTTCTAGCTTCTCAGATCCTCGAGTTATGAACTGACCCCAAAAAAACTTTGGCGGGCCGTACGCGGGTACCACGCGGGTCTTGGCGCCCATTTTGGGGATTGGGGACGGCACGTGCATGCAGATTAAGTTCCCAAAATTTCAGCCCCGCAGCTTTTATAGGTCCTGAGATGGCCCACCTGCTAAGTGGCCTGATATGAAACAAAGAATGATCCAGAAGTGCTTGAAGATTTCTGCGGGAGGGACAGAAGATGAGGCCCATTTGTTCTGGCTGGGAACTCGACAAACCACCAAATGTTCTGATAATGATGCTTAATCAGATTCAGGAACCAACCACCCCTTTTTGATAGATAATTTTACATATCTGTAAACACCGAGCTAGACACAATTCCTGACAACTTCAGGATGAATTCGCAAAAAAAAAAAATAAATAAATAAATAAATAAATAGCTAAGCGCACCAGAGTAGCCGGTGCGACCATGCGTTTTGCGCAGTTCCGTCCAGCGGACGTTTGCTTACTAGAAATATAACTGTTTTATATTTTTGTGTACAGAAAAATTGCAGAAATGCTGTCTGGCTCCGAAGGTGAGGAATCTCCCACCGAAAATTTCACGTGCCGGTACATGAAAGCTGAATATGAAAACACTGATGGGGAACATAATTCCAAATTTCAACCTTCTAGTTTTTCGGCTTCTGAGCTAGTGACTTTCACATTAAAATTCTCACGTGGTTTTGCGTAAGGCCTCTGCACACTCGGGAGCTAAATTTGAATTTGTGAGGTATCTGTAGCAGCAGAAAATATCGTCCTGAAATTTGAGCTTCCTAGCTTTCATAGTTGTCGAGATAATTTTCCGCCAAAACTTTCACGGGGCCGTACGCGATACCCAAGCGCGGGAAAACTGAATTTAAATTTCCTGGGTTGCACGTGGTCAAGCGGCATACCCATAAAATTCCAGCTTCCTAGCTTCCGTGGTTCCTGAGATAATAATTCCACACGTCAAAACTTTTAAGAGGCCGCACGTATAACCTGCGGGTACGGGAAGGCTGAATTTAAATTTGCCGCTTCATACTTTGGCGGGGAATACTATACTAAAATTTCAGCCGCCTAGCTTTTGTGGTTCCCGAGTTGAAAGTGCAGAACAAAATGTGGGACACACACACACACACAACCCCGTGAGAATATGCGTTTTGTACTGCTGTTACATAGCACAAAATGCATAAAAAACCAACATGACGCAAATATCCATTCCCGGGATAACTCAAATATGTTCACATTTAAATATTTCAAAAATGCAAGTCTGAACATTAAAGATATCGCGGAATTACTAATCCCATGAAATTATCGATGCTTTTTTCCTCTCTCGCTGCAATTTATTCAGCACACACAGATTCACTAACACGACATATAGCGGTATCACAATTCTAGGGGCGTCACGTAGTACTTGGGAGGAGCAAAAAGCATCGATTTTTTTCGTGGAATTGGTAAGTTTCACGGCAAAAGACGTGCAGATTCGGGCATTGTCGACAATACAAATTTCCTCGGGCATTTCGGACATTCAAAATCACACTAAAATTCAGACATCTCAAGTACAGCACGACACTTCTGGCAGAGGTGTCACAAATAGGCTCAAGCATGCAAATCCACAGCACCAGTGCTAGTTGTTCCGGAACTGAAGATAACCCCCCCTCCCCTCCCCGCTCTCCCACCACTCCCTTCTCCCCGCCCTCCCTTCGGTAAGCCTCTGCATCGGTCACTCCACAAGTTTGAACCTCATCCTACGCGGCGCCCTTTGCTGGACATTAGGTCAGCTGGCCACATCCACATCTGTGCTCCCTCCATTCCATGCACACTCTCATCACAGTGCTTGTTCTCTGCAGACTATGACCGCTGGACACTCTTTCCATCAGGATCTGCTGCTGCTGCTTTCCGGAATTGCAACACAAAATGGACGGTGCTTGTGGTACTTTGAACATTAGCTAGAGCTAGACTAAGCTCGGATTCGCCTCCTACCACTTCATCCTTCCTTTTAGCTTTGGAATTGCAAAATTTCCTGAATTTGGATCCGAGATCAAAGGTCATTATATAGAGGTACATGAAAATTCTACCCTCTAGGCCTTTTGCAAGATCAGCAACTTTTCTGCCAAAAATTTAAAGTTAGCGCAACTTCATTAGCTGTTGAGTCCCGAAATTTTGTGCGAATTTACACACTGGTTTTGGAGTTATCAAATTTTTCTCAATCTGTATACGGGTCAAAGATCAGAAGATAGGGCCAAGTGGTATTTGGATTAGTTTTTCGGCCAACATTTCTGCCAAAAATTTAAACTTATTTCTTTTTTGACTTAAACTTATCACTTGAAAGTTGATTTTACGTTTGAAGATTTGTTTGAGGTCGAGAGACGTTGCCCACATCATTCCAGTTCCCTAATCTTTGTAGATCCGGAGCTGAAAAATGTGTCCAGACAGACGTACGTAGAGTCTGTGCCTCAGATGCTGTTCCCTCAAGAATACTGTGCGGCGAAATAATAGTCGTGATTTATAGCTTGCAAATCTGGGAGAAATAAGCAAATCCAGCAACATCAGCTTTCGGGTTTAGTCACAGATTTAAAGCTGACAGGAAGCAATAGCAGAAAATTGGTAATGCAGAAATTAATCAACAAAATAGTATAGCCCTAAGATGGAACACACAGGCTTGCCGGTGCGATGCTGCGTTTTTACACCAAAATTGCAGCAAACAGGTCGTTAGCTGTACGAATGGTTGCTACTTTACCTTGCACTGAGATGAGGAACATCCCCTCAAAATTTCAGCGTCTATCTTCTCTGGCTCTCAAGCTAGCAATTTTTCGCCAAACTTTCACTTGCTCGGACGTGAGGTCAGACGCGCATGAGGGTTGGCACCGCGATCCCGGGGTAGCAGTTGGCCGGAGGACCCTCTGGTAAGATTTTAGCTCCAAAGCCTGCTTGATTGCCTGCTGTCCATCATTTTGACACTAGGGTTATCCCTCCGGATTTACGCTAGCTAGTTCAAATTTTATATTTTATAAAGAGATTTGCAAGAGCCATACCACTCAAATCATGCTGTTTTGTTCTTGCTAGAATTAAATTTCTTTTTTATATTTTACTTTCAACTTTTGTGCTGTAGTGTATGTGTGAGTGGAAACACACGCTGATACTGTATATTTACTGCTGAAGGCTTGTTGAGCACATGTATTTTACAATTAACGTAATAAATAGACAACCAGAAACGTGGCGTATTTTAACTTTTTAAAATGAGGCTCAGTCTTGGTAATGCTCCCCAAAACTCAATAACCTGTTCTTCCGCTCAGAATCACCTTCATATACGTGATTTTAGCTTTTTATTTGCGAAATTCCTGAGGGTCACTTCTTTCACAGTAGTTTTGACCAATGCTGCATTGCCCAGATGTGGATGTTGGAAGCTCAGGAGTGAAGAGGATAGCGTGATTGTCGGCTTCACCATTGGGAAACGTTCCGAATATGAATCAACGATGAACCAGTAACCGTATCATTAATTGGGTCCAACTATTTGCTTCTTAGCGCAAGTGTGCAATACTGAGGCTCTTTTTAGTAATGTTTTACACTCCTTCAAATAAATTTTAATTCTTTTCTGCAAGTTTTAGCCTGAATTGGTTGAAATTTGTACCCACGACTTTTACATCTCGGCAAACAGTTTTAGCGCTCCGAACAAGGCAGGAAATGCAACCGTCCTTATCTCCCTCCCCAGTTTTTCGCTTGAGGTGCATCACCGATTTACAACTGCTTCTTTGACAAGTCGTTGTTGTCCAGGCAGATTTCATCGGCATTATCCTTCTTTCCTTCAGCGACTTCTTGCGAAACAGAGAGAAGTTCCTGTATCTAAAAGAAATGCAAATATCATATTTTGGCACTCTAAAAGCTTTTGATCAGTCACATGCTAAGTAGTTTCCAACTGTGAAAATTGTAGAATGGCATAGGACCAGAAGTCTAGCATGCATTAAGCATTTCTCACATACAGTGCAAGTAGCTGGAAGTACAACCTAATATTGAAAGAACTGGCACGCTGCGCCCGAGTTACGGAAGTATTCCAGCAATATCACTAAAATGCGAACTTTAAACCAGCTGCTCGGACGGTTTTGACAGCGGTGATATGTTTAGCTAGAAATACAACAACCTTATCGGAAATATTTTCAGCGCTCTCTGGAGTATAAACAATCGTCGTTTTCCGGGAGAGACGTTCCCAGTAGCGCTTTTGCTGAGCAACAACCATTTTTGGTGGAACCTAAACATCCAGCCGCTAACAGCAAAATTGATAAATACATGAGAAATTTGAAGCTGAAAGAGTAAGCCGGTCATCCACAGCTTCAACATTGAAATTCTTTCAGCAGCTAAAATTATTGTGAGCCCATTTCTTCGTCTGCGGGCACCACTGCAATCTGTTTAGCTTGATTACTCAGGAGCGATTTTTGTTATCCAGGCGTGTAAGGACGGAGAATATCAGAATCACCAGCAGGGTAGCCAACCGTCTGTGTAGCACTGGTCAAAATAACTACAGAGCAGCTGCATAGATGGAGAACTAGCTTCTGAGTATTCCTGACATTTGAAAAATTCAAACCTTCATACGTTTCAGCATCCCATCCCATTCCAATTCCAGCAAACTTCCCTTCTCGGCAATTGCGTGTTTTACACGCCGGGCAAATTCGATAGAATCTTCACCTTCCTGAAAAATATAACCGAAAAAAAAACTTCTGAAATTCATTTTTCAGTGCTTTTAGCGAGGAAAGCAAGTTTGGTCCGGCAGCCCAATTACCTGCGCAGAAATATTTCCCCAATATATATGCATATTTCAAATAAAAAAGGAGAGGCGCGGATTACTGTAAAAGTTAGTAGAGGGGAATAGCGTATGTGATCCACAGCCAAGCTTAGGATTACTACGTCTAAAACAGATGAACGAAGTGATCCTGAAAAGACAACTAACCGATTTTCGCTCATAACAATCAAGGGAGAAAACGCTTGTTCGTAAGACTCTCCAAGTGCACGCTTGAAACTTATTGAATAGTGAATGTTAAAGAATTCTGAAGAGTTGAGAAGGAGGTTGCTTTTTGCTCCCCAGTTACTTGATCAAAAGACCAAACATCAATTTATGAGTAGAGTGAGTTCAAGCAAATATGATTTATCTGTCCTGGCTCATACTAAGAGGCACAATAAGTGGTTACATCGCGTGACATTGGTGGAAGGTACCACACATCGCACATAATTGCCCAGGAAGTCATCATACGAAACAAATACTCAGCGTATGACTGCTCGCTACTATTCCAAAACGCATCACCGAGCCTCGAATCGTACTTCATTGCTATCGGATAGATTGTACTACTCACCTGAAAATATGAATGAGCTATTCAAAACCCGGGAACTCCTTCTTACCTCTGTCTTTTCAGTGCGATGAGGACGGGTGAGGCAGAGGCGAGGAGGAAGAAAACCTTACATACTGAAAATTCGGGAATCCGCTGAGAAGCGATCACACACTCTCTAGCTTTGATCCATGCCCGCTTACAATGGAAGCAAGCAACCCAGAGACCTGATAAAATCCTTGAAATTTTCAGTCACGCACGCGCATACCAATCCGATTTGAGTCTAAAATAGCTGGCCACGAATTTCGCTAGCCGTGTGTGTCCTACTACTTTGTACAACATCCACACGTTAAAAAAATGCAAAAAACTACGCACTGCGGTCACAGAACAAACCTCAAAAGATCCTTTTTTAAACATCATCACTGATGTATTATTAATACACGTTCCTTCAGGAAAAATAATAATGGGCAGTAAGGAAGGATCATCAACATGCTCTTGAAGCCTGAAAAAAATTATTTATAATACATGTGGCCTCAAACTAGTAATATTGAAAAAAAGTTACGAAAATGTCAGTGTGCCTGTGGTCAGTTTGCGCTGCATGTCAACATCACTTGAAGTTAGGAACATCTGAATGAGGCTAACAGTTACGTCTGCCTTAGAAGGCATATATTCGCTATAGTCTTTAGCCAGAGATTGCATGAAAAGACTGCTAGCTGGCGCAAATTTTGCAGCACTGTTTCGAAGCGAAAGGAAACATTATTAAGCCCAATATCACAGCACTGAAGCTAACGATGCACGAACACGAAACGTTATAGTGGAGGGCAGAAGAGCGATTGTTGGCTGTGATGGAGAGATGGAAAGAAATAAGCCTGGCGCATCTCTGCGCGATCAAATATCAGATTCTCTATCAGATGAACGGCGTTCAGGTTTCCGTTGTAACCATTAAAATTCCGCGGACAGGCTATGATTCTTGTCTTGCTGTCAACTGTTGTTGCATATTGGTCAACGGTACCATCGAGAAGGCAAACCATCATTTAGCGAGCGGAGGGGGAGGGGAGAGGCAAGGTCCGGTAAAGTGACGTACATACACTGAGCAGATGGGCGGTATCAACTGCCGATATGCAGCTCAGGGTCGAAGGATCTGGCAGAAGTGAGCCTGGAGCATCCCACTAACGACACTAATGCAGGATCTCTACGCCGACTGTACGGGAAGTCTTAGTACTTTTCGCATTAACGTAACAACTATCAGCATTGTCCAAAAAAAAAGAGGAACATTACTGTTTACTAAATTCGAAAAAGTTTTTAGTTTAAATCTGCATGAATTTAGGAAAAAAATCTTGATAAAGTGACCTTTTCAAGACTTGTTTTCGATCTCCTACGTCCGTGCGATTGAACCAGACATGCTGCGCCGCCTTGCTCAATGTGTTTTGGAGAAACCCTGAACAATTTACGTAAGCGGTTCTCTTAACAACTAGACCTGCTCAGTGCAAGCGTGTATCCACCGTTCGAAGAAAAGAACAACACTCAAACTCTGTACAGTTTCTTGTAATTTACTCCACTCCGGCCAGTTTAGTGTCCAAATGTCGCGTCATTGAAATCAGCACAATTAACAGTTTCCAGGTTGATCTTATGCTCTTCTGGCGATTATTTCAGCCAGGATATTTTTAATTCACACAAACAACGTGACTCGCTGATCGGTAAAACAAGGAAGGCGAGGGAACGAGTTTTTGGCTTTTGACTTCTGCATAATTAAAACACATTTTTCGAAATGGAATGTGCATGTGCGAAAACATGTATGGAATGTGTGAAACATGTATGCATTCATGTGCGTAAAGTATATATGCGTATTTACGTATGATATGCGTATTTATGTGTATATATATATGTATATGTATATACATATATATATACATATATATACATATATATATATATATATATATATATACATATGGTGTCAGAAAAACAAAATCCGTGAAGATGTCACTGAAAAGTGACGTGGACAATTTTGTAGCTTCATAACCAAAGCAGCTAGGGTGCTGAAAGTTTATGTGCATAGTCCACTGTCATGTTTGGATAGGTGTATGTGAAAAAAATTTTCACGTCCTTTTCGATATCAGGTACGTTCACGTGGGAGAATGACGCTGACAATTTCGTAACCCCGCAACGAAAGCTGCTACAGTGCTGAACTTTTCTGTGCGTGGCCCAAACCAAGTGTAGATGAGCATTTTAAATACAACTTCCGTGTCCCAAAAATCACATCCAAAATGTGACTGATTTTTCAAAAAAAACAAAGGCTGGAACGCACCAGGCGAGCCGGTGCGATCATGCGTTTTTGCATCAAAA